AAGTGAATACATAACAAATGCAAAAAATACATGTAAATAAATTCATGCTCCTTTTGTCCAGGTAAAATGCATTGTGATGGATCAGGATTTTTACAAAATTAATTCTCAGCAGGAGACAAAGATCCTGGAGAACCTTGAGAAAGTTTTTCTTTCTCATGCACCGTTTTAAAAAAGGCTGAAAATATATATTTTTTCTTCCTTTCTCCTTCTGTGTCCTCTGTGATTTGTTAAAAATATTAATCTCTTCTTGGTCATGTGGAAGTGCTTCATGAAGCTCTCTGTGATGACTCGTGAATGATGACAGAACTTATCGCCAACCACTTGTCATCAGGGCCCGGATTAAAGAATGGATACAGCTTCCCAAAATAATCAAGAGTGAGAGACCCGAGAAGACGCTTCTCATCAGGGTTATAGAATGAAAGTGTTTTCTCCACTTGATCCAGGGCAACACCAACAACACTACAAGGCTTTGGAATACTTATATCCTTGCTATCAGTTAGAATGTACTTGCCCTGGGAAAAATGGAGCCCGAAGACCGATGAATCCAAATCACTCATCTTCAGTGTATTCCTAATTTCCTCACTTAATACCCCCAGCATCCACTCCAGTTTATCCCCCACCTCCACTTCCCAGTACTGGATTCCATCCGAAAACCCTTCATTTGCTACTGCAATCAGTTTTCTATCGAAATCTTCCTGCGTGGAACACTTGACTCTGTTTTTCTCCTTAATGATGAGTTTTCCATCTCTGCGTTTCTCGTCCAAGGTGATATTAACTTTAGAAAGAAAAAGAAAAAAAGAAACGCACAAAGTGAATGACATTTCAGATGATCAAGAAAAATAAACAACAATAATCTCAGAGAAAGTGCATAAAGGAAAGAATAAAATAAAAGTTTAAATTGGAAAATGTACTGTGACTCAGTGGGACAAGAAGTCAGAAGGGAAATAATTTCAAGTCACCACAGCAAGGAAGGAGGAAGTTCTGAAGTCAAATCCCATCCAGGTTGTTCTTTTTCTATGTGTCAGATTGATATTTTTACTCATTTCAGATATATATTTTTCCCCATTTCAGAATATGGATTCTCAAAAATGATTTAAGACCATTTGTTTCTGAGAATGAAAGAATATGAGATTAATAACAGGCAAAACTTGGCTTACCTGCTTTGCAACGAATTCTCATGAATTCTGCAAGAAAATAAATTAATGATTAATTGAAATAGTGCTTATTCTACCATATTTTGGAACAGGAGTATAAACTTGATAAAATTAATTTCAAGTTTTCAACTTACCCACTTCATTCCTGGCTTTTTCTGAAATGCAAAGAAAGTCACATTATATCTACACATGGCAAGACTCATCGATAGGATCTGCACTAATGTGAGTATTCCCAGTACTACGTTATTTAAGTGTAACTTGGCCTATGCAGTCAGATACAGCTAGATAAAAAGCTAGATAAAAAGGAGGGATTTTAGTTGCATAAAGCCAGGCTGGTCACCTGGGCTCTTTACATAGATTTTTAAGGACCTTCAAGTTTAAACTAATTTTCTTACCAAGTTCACGCTCTGCTTCTTGAATTTCTACAAAGAAAGAAAAATGAAATTTAGGATGACCAAAGAAGTTGATTTATCCTGCAGTCATTATACATTACAGAAGTAATTTAATCATGTTTATCTAAAAATCTTTTTCATGTCTATCTTTAAAGAAATATAGACATGCATTATGTAAGTTTTCTTTCATATTAAATAAGGTATTGGATGAATTGAGCTGAAGAAATGAAATAAATTACCAAAAAAATGAAATTTTCAGAAACAGCCAGGAAGTGATCCCTGAATATTGTAAGGGCACAATAATTTCCTTACGTTCCTCAATATTTATTTAAGTGCTGTGAAGAGTATATATATGAAGAGCATATATATGAAGTGATCCCTGAATATTGTAAGGGCACAATAATTTCCTTACGTTCCTCAATATTTATTTAAGTGCTGTGTAAGAGTATATATATGAAGGCCTAATGCACACACAGGATTATTTTCTAAAGATACTTTATTTGCCATTTAAATTCACATTTTACAGTAATAATATCTTTTAGACAAAAGGTCATGAAACTAAAGAAAATAAGATTTTCAGAGATCTAAAGATTTCATTTAAGTCATCGTTCTCAATGCAAACTAAGTGAACATAAATAAGTATCTTTAAACCATTATCTCTCAAAAAGCTGCCTACCAAACTCACTTCTTGAAGAAGTCTTAATATATGTTCAATATCGATGCTTTAAAGTTTAATGCATCCTTAAACATTTGCTGTAATAAAGACTTTACATTCCACCAAATAATCTATTTAATTTTGTCATCCTGACAGATTTTTACTTAATGTTTTTCTTAGCATCTATCTCTATAATTTGCCTATCTCTATAATTTGTCTATCTCTATAATTTGCCTATCTCTATAATTTTTTGACATACAAGAGAGTTTATTCTCATTCCATTCGCGGCAGTAATTGGTACTTTTTCAATGCTATTATCTCTTTGGATGCAAATAACCCCTCCTCTTTTTCTTGCATATATATATATATATACATATATATATATATATATATGTCCTATATACATATAATACAGCTTTTCATCTACCTTTTCTGTTGGAGTAATTTTAATCTCCACAATATAAAATTGGAAAAGCTCTTTCTAATGTAAGTACTGGAAATTGCAGAGGACATTGTTCTTGTCTTAAAGCCGTGATCTACTAAGCATGTTTTACATCAGGACTTAAAGCATGATATGCAGTAAAAACGCAGAGTAGTAAAAATATGGCACATTACCCTTCTCTGACTTGTTCTGCTCCTCATCTGAAAAATAAATCAATAAAAAACCCAAATATAATAAATGCTACATTTTCAAGACCAAAACCCCCAAAACGTGATGGAGAATTACAGTGTTAAAGAATGTGCTTATACAGGGAAATGAGGATTAACATTAAATTCAGCATACAGTTTAAGGTTAAGCACACAAGGAGGTCTTCAAAATACATAAGATAAATTGTCCTCCTGAAATATGTGCCTTGTTGTATTTAATTTGAAGGAAATCTACATGATTAGCTAAGTCTGGGTATGTAAATTCCTATAGCTAAACCTAGGTGACGTGATACCTGGAATTATTACCCTCTATGTAACTGGAACCATAACAATTTCAAACAATTACATATCAATGTAATTGAAAAACACACAAACACACATATATTATGTATATCATATAATATTCGTAATATTATATTTTTATGTTATATCATTTTAATATAATATAATATAATATAATAT